GCAGTGTGCAGATGACACTGACCCAGCAGAGCTCAGAGCTGAAGGACACGCGGATGCTCACGGAGTTCCTGGAGAAGCTGGAGCTCGAGGAAAGTCACTACAGCACCCTGGGACAGGTTAGCTGCGGGTTACGTTTTTCCAGTTCGTTTACGTTCATGCATTTGACAGATGCATTTATGCAAAGCGACTTGCATTGCAGCGAAGGTTTCATGCATTTGGCTGGGAATCGAACCCATGTATTTGAACTACAGGAATGCTCAACTCTTTTCTAACATTGATAATGGCAGCATGTTAGCACTGGAGATAAAGAAGATAAGAAGATGGTGTGGTTTACTGATAACCAGAAAGGTTGCTGGTTCGAATCCAGCATAGAACAACAATCCATGAGCTGCACTGTAAAAAGATGTTTAAATTATTGTAAGCATCATCTCTGGTTCCATCCGTTTAAGTTGCCATGTGTGCGCAGTGTATTGTTATAATTATTAGAGTATCATGTTGATGGTTTAGCAACATGCTAATGTCAAACTATTGGAATCAATCCATCAATCAAGTTGTCGTAACTCATAGCCAGAACAATTCTGATTTTATTTCATAATGACATTCAAAATAGGTGAAGAGGTGCAATGAACTTGGCACTACTCTGAACAAATTAATAAATAGACATGCAATATTGATTTGAGTTTAAATGATTTTATTATATGAGATGAAAGAGATTATGGAGTGCAAACTAGCACAGCTGTGTTGGAAAAAAACAGTTAATTATACAGTTCAGTGTCATTATACTCAAATATTTGATCAGAATGGCAGGATCGACCAATCAGAATCAAGTATTCCAGAGAGCTTAAAGTAGTCTGGTCTGTTTGATTTCCTGGTTTATTCATTTTTGAACTGTGTTCCTCCAGCCGCTGTGCAGTGAGCTTGACTCTGGACCGTCTCTTCTGGGCTTGCCGGTGAGAGGACATGATGAGCCCCTGATGGAAGCCATTGGGAACCCTGTGAAGGAGCTCAGAGAAGCTGTTGAGATGCTCAATGACACGGCGCGGGAGAGGGGCCGCTCGCAGTCACATGACCAGAGCATCCAGGAACTGCTCACCAGGGTGAGTAGAGTCGGAAACGGATTACGTCACATTCACTTTTGTTTGTGTTGAGACAGACCTGGCAAGAAAACATGTTTGGTAATAAAAGCATTCACTATTCTCTGTCCTATTCATCGTCTCCTCGTTTCCCAGCATGCCATGGTGTCAGCGCGCGTGGAGCAGTGTCTGCAGCGCTGTGCCGAACTCGCCGTAGATGTGCTGGAGATGGAGAGTGAGATGGCTGTGAGATGTGAGCCGGATCGCTGCGGTCTGGATGACCTGCAGGAGTACCAGGACCAGCTGGAGGTACGGGTTCACTGAATTTTACTACTGGACTACTAGAGAAAAATGCTGCAAGAGCTTAGGGTGAATCTTACAAAACCTAGCTCATACAGACCAGTAAAATATTAGACAATACTACTTTATTTTTATGACAGTTAAGCACATTTTCTCCTAACAATCTTGTTGCTGTGATGCAAAAAAAAAAAAACATTTAAAATTAAATTGAAAAATATTTATAAATAATGGTAGTGTTGTTGTTCTGCCCTCAATTTATCTTTTTTATTTAATAAAAATTATTTTTTCAGCAATTTTTATTTTAATTGTCATGAAAATAATCACATCACAATAATTACAAATATAAATAAATGATATTATTATATACGATTGTGTATTATTAGTATTATTATAATTGTGATGTGATTGTTTTTTGTTTGACAATTAATAAAAATAAGAAATAATTGTTTTTAATGTTTTTATTATTATTATTATGTATTATTATTATTATAGTGATTATCGTGCTGATTATTTTCATGACAGTTAAGTAACATAAATGAGAATTGATAATTATTATTTCTTAATAATAATAATAGTAATAATAATAATAATTATTATTATTATTATTTTGATTTATTTCCATGACAATTCAGTAATAAAAATAAGAATTAATTACAAGAAATAAAAAAGAAACAAGAAATACAAGAAATAAAAAAGAAATTATAATTTTTATTAATAATAATAATAATAATTATTATTATTATTATTATTATTATTATTCTTAATTAGTAGTAGGAGTAGTAGTATGGCAAAAAAAAAAAAATCATGGTCCTAAAAATAGAGCTGATTTTATTCATGCAGATTTTTGTTGTGAAATGTTACCTGGACATGCTTTCATGCGATTCACCCTTTTGTGGGGTTGTTTCTTTTTTTAAAAAAGTAAGACCGCAACCGAGTGTTTTTGCAACACAATAATGCGTCCAAAGCATTTACCAGTGAAAGCGCTCTGAGAACAGGAAGCCTCTTGTTTGCCGGGACTCGGTGACCTCCCGGTGTTGATCTAATGGAAACGTCTTTCTCCCAATTCTTGTGATGAATTTTTTTTAGCACATTGTTTCTAGAATCTGTTTCCTGTTGTGGTTGAAGCTGGACATCCACCGAGGTTTTGTTCGATAATGAAGTGAGCCCACACATGCCTTTATTATCCACACAGGACTCCATTGTGTGCGAGTTTTAGGCGTTTATGATGTGTATTTGTAAGTGTCGGCTGATTCATTTGAGACTGCAGCATTGTGCGGGTGCGTTGCAATGCAGTAATACCTAGATGGCGTGCAAAACGCAAACACATCTGTCTGGAAACCCCAAAGCGCAAGAAATGACCTAATGGCTCATACTAAAATAGTTTGACGCTCATGCACAAAGCATCTGACAATCTCTGTTTTGCAGGCGCAGATCTGAAACACTGAGCGGCTTGAAGGTTTTAATTACCTTCAGAAACTCTGTCAGCGATGCCAGCAATGCATATGTAAAGCATATGGTTAACTGATTTAAAGCACTGAAAGTGTAAAACCGTACGAGTTTGCACAGTTTGCAAAGGGTTTATGCTGCAAAAATAGCACTGGTTGGATGGTAGTATGCAATTGTGAACTTAAACCTAGACGTCTTTTCTTCCTCCAGGCTGAATACGGGGTCTTGAAGGAGGAGGTGGAGGCCATGGTGAGTCTGGCGAGCCGTTTGTCAGACGTGTGTCCGGAGAGGATGAACGCTGTAGGGACTGAGATTCAGACCAGCCTGAACGCCTGGGACGAGCTCGGCAAAAGTGTGGACAAAAACAAGAAGAGACTCCTGCAGTTTGGACACCTGCGCCATTTCTTTAGGAACTATCTGGCAATGATGTAAGTCAGTGATAAAACGATTAAATGAGACCTCATTTTATTTCTCATTTTGTTGAAGATTGACATCACAAGAACACGTACAGGTCATAATTCACCCCAAAACAAAAATAAAGGAATGATAAATAATATTCATAGTTTAAATAAAATAATACCTTTTTGTTGTACCATTGGACTTTTTTGCATTATAATATTTTCATGACATATACTGGGACAGTTCTCCCTAAATTTTGACACATTAATTACAATTATTTTCATGACAATTAAGCAAGTTTCCGAAGAAATTATCATGCACATTTTTTAATAAAAAAAAATCTAATAAATATGTTTTATTTAAATCAGTGTAAATTAAAACCAGAACAAATACTACCATAAATAGTAAATACTTATTATATACTTAATATATTTTTCTCATTACATTCTCAACAGTTTTTTTAATATTTGTTTTAATTTTATTTTATAATAATTTTGTATGTACATATATAAATTATAATAAAAATATGAATTAGATTTTTTTTATTAGAAAACACTGTAGTATAGTATTGAGAATTTACTAAAAATACTAAAATAATGCTAAACAAAAAAAAAAAACATTTTAATTATTGAACAAAATAAAAACTACAAATTAAATATTAGTTTTTTAGTTGTTTTTTTTCAGTACAAATACTAAAAAAAACATTTAAATGTCTGGACACATTACAGTAATGCAAATTTGGGGGAAACTTGCTTAATTGTCATGAAAATAATGGCATAAAGCAAAAAATCATAAAGGTCCTTCTTTCTTTTGATTTTGGGGTGAAATGTGAGCTGGACATGTTTTGGCGTGATTCACCAGGAATGTTCTATGAATATAATTTGCAGAGCTAATGTTTGATTTATTGATGGGAGATGTCTGTTCACATTGTGTTCTCTTCATGTTTGTGTGTTGGCCTGAAGCGCTTGTCTTCACCTCTCTGCTGTTCATCTTCTCTCCCACAGCTCTTGGACAGAAGACACCCGCTCCTGCATTTTCTCAGAAAGTGCTCTGCGTCAAAGCCGAGAGAACCAGGAGCCTCTGGTTGAGGTTCTGGATCGGCAGATAGAGCAGAAGTTTGAGGAGTTTGATCAGCTCGCTGTGGCTGGAAAAAAACTCTTTGACGACGAGCATCACCTCAGCAAAATGGTAGAAAATCACAAATGTGACCCTGGAGCACAAAAGCAGTCTTAAGTCGCTGGGGTATATTTGTAGCAATAGCTAACAATACATTGTATGGGTCAAAATTATAGATTTTTCTTTTATGCCAAAAATCATTAAGATATTAAGTAAAGATCATGTCCCATGAAGATATTTTGTAAATTTACTACCGTAAATATATCAGATTCCAGATTTTCAAATAGTTGTATCTCGACCAAATATTGTCCTAACAAACCATACATCAATGGAAATCTTATTTATTTAGCTTTGAGATGGTGTATAAATCTCAATTTAAAAAAATTGACCCTTATGACTGGTTTTGTGGTCCATGCTCACAAATATGCTTTCTTTAAAGGGATAGTTCACCCAAAAATGAAAATTTCCCCATGATTCTTTATAATGACAGCGAATGGCTGTTGATATTCAATAGTCCAAAAGAAGTCCAATAAAGCGCATCCATCCATCATAAAAAGTGTCCCACTTGGCTCCGGAGGGTTAATAATGACCTCCTGAAGCGAATCCATGCATTTTTGTAAGAAAAAAAAATACATATTTAAAACTTAATCAAACAGTAATCTCTAGCTATTATTATTAATTATTATTATTATTTTTAATTATTAATTTATAACTATTATTAATTAATATTACCCATCCCTACCCGGAGCCGTGTGGAGCATTTTTTATGATGTATGGATGCGCTTTATTGGGCTTCTATTGGACTATTGAAAAATAACACCCATTCACTGCCATTATAAAGCTTGGAAGAGCCAGGACATTTTTTAATATAACTGAAAGAATCTGAAAGAAAGTCATATACACCTAGGATGCCTTGAGGGTGAGTAAATCATGGGGTAATTTTCATTTTTGGGTGAACTATCCCTTTAACATCTGCTTCAGTTGCTTCTGGGATGACAGAACGTTAAAATGGTTTGTTTATTATGTCTTGTGCAGATCAGAGAGAGGATGGAGGAGCTGAGGAGCATGCTGGGATGGATCCTGGTCCACTGGAGGGCTCAGAAGGATCAGCTGTTGAGCAGACAGAAGGCTGAAGAAGCTCAGACAGACGCTATTTACTCTGAGGCCACGGTCTGCAGCCTGCAAACACAGGTAGAACCCATTCATTTGTGATTTTCCCCTCTTTGGATAAATTAAGTTTATCAATCAATCAATCATTCATGGTGCAGATATTAAAAACTGTGATTGAATTGAATAATTCACTTCATCACTCCTGTTGTACATACATGACAATTGTAAAGAAACATGTCAAGGTTACGCTTCAAACTGAAGTAAATATAAATAAATATAAATATATGTATATATTATATACAGTATATATATATAGTTGATGTAAAAAAAAATACAAAAATAACTTGCAATGCAATGATTAAAAAAATTCTCAAATGCTACAAACAATCTTTTCATTTTATTAATATAGTTTTAATTTTTCCATTATAGAAATGGGAATTCAAATATGGGAAATATGCTTATTTGTCTTAAATAATATCTGTATCAATCAATCAATATCTTTCAGTAAATATATACTGTAAAGCAGTGATTTTCAATTTACATCAGCATATACCAAATACTAAGAAATACTTCACCATTTTAAGAATAAATAATTTTTTGCATCAGCATATATTAAATGCTGCAGATGCTACTAATAAATACTTCACTATTTAATAATATAGAATTTTTGCATTAAAATGTCACAGTGCAAACAATCTTAATGGTCCTGAAATCCTTGACCGTTTTCATGAGATCAACCCAAAATAACAAAATAATATACAAAAATAAATAAAGAAATACATTTCAATTTTTTTTATGAATTATGGATTTTTATAATTCCGCTTATTCTCAGTGATGATTTGTATTAGATATTCATTTTTATATTTTTCTTTTAAAGTAAAAAATACTGTAATGCAGTGATTTTTTTAAATTTAAGTCAGCATGTATTAAATGAATGCTACTAAATGTAAAACAATCACAGTGCAAACAAGCTTTACTATTTTATTAATATAGAATAAAATATAGAGGATAATATAGTTTTTTTTTTTTTTTGCTTTTTTAATAATGGGAAATTGAAGGCAGGAAATGTGCTTAATTGTCAAATAATGTCACAATGCAAGCAATCTTAAAAGTCCTAAAATACAATATGTTTTTGTCATTATGCAAAATATAATTTTTTATTTCTTTCTTTTGTTTGTGAAATGTGACCTGGAAATCCTTGACAGTTTTCGTAAGATCGACCCAAAGATGCAGTCTCCTCATAAAGCATGCTAAATCTGGCATTTTTCAGGTGGAAACCTCACCCGAGGCTTCTCAGAAGGGAACAGAAAGCCTCACAAGTGCTCCCCCTGGTGACATGGAGGACAGTTTGCAGCACAATTATGAATATGAGGTGATGAAGAGTGTCAGTCCTAAAGGAAGCGATGATAGCGGTCATTTAAAAAGGCCGAACTCGCCGTACCTGGTGCTGAAGGAACCCAGTCCTTCAGCTTTAGGAGGCACTGTCAATCTCATCCTCAGCTTCAGTAACTCTGGAGACACACAAATCCAGGTACAAGCGCCCAGCAGGGAAGGTGGCGTGCCGGTGCTCGAACCTGTGCACAGGGTGAGAATTATTAAAAACCACAGTCACACAAAGTCAAACCCTATTGCACTTATACGCTACTCTGTGTTCGATATCCCTCTCAGCCTCCTTACATTTTGCTTCTCTTTCCTCAAAAACACCCTTCTCTGTTTTGTTTTGTTTTGTTCTACATTCCCCTTCAGCCTGCTGAGTCTCACACTTCTGCCTGTAAAAGTTTTTGGAAGCGCTGCCAGGGGATTTTTGGTAGTTTAAAGCAAAAGAAAAAGATTTATCGACACAGTGCAGAAGAGGTAAATATAGTTGGTCAGTGGCCCTGCACGAGTAAACAGAAATATGTTAGTTGTGTGCAGTGCTGGGTAGTAACTGATTACATGTAATCTGGATTACGTAATCAGATTCCAAAAATTAAGTACTTGTAGTTTTTATTGATTACATAGTAATCACACACTAGCAATAAATTATTCATCAATTTTTTCATCGTTTAAATTTTCTTTTCTAAAATAGCCTGCCGTTAAAGGTCTCCAGTTTTGTGGACATTCACACAAAGACCAGTCATTAGTCAGCTGGCTATAATTACACAAAAATCTTGTGTTTTCTCAGCATCCCAACATCGCATTAACTACTGATTGAGCAAATTCTTTTTTTTTTAAATGATCACAGAGTTATTTAACCATGCATTACTATGTATTTGGAAGGCTTTTGTCTTTCAAACACAATTATTTTAAAATTATGTATTGTAATTTTACATTTTTATGATTATTAGCAGTTTCTTCACGAACCCCAGTTTGGGAAACCTGACGTAATGTAATGTTTACTGCACTTTGTTGTTAATAACAACAAATGTAATATATTTTCTTTCTCTTTGTATTTTTATATCAATACGTTACAAGATTATCCTATTTAAATCAATGTGATAAATGAGTTAGGTTAAAAGTATGGAAGCCTGTTTCTGCCACTGAATTTTAAAAAAAAAAGGCAATTGCGGGTTTTTATCTCACAATTCTGACTTTTTTTTTTCTCGCAACTCTGACTTTTTTTCTCAGAATTGTGAGATATTATAAAGTCAGAATTGCGTGTTTGTATCTCGCAATTCTGAGAAAAAAAGTCCAAATTGTGAGATGAAAAAGTCACAATTACCTTTTTTTTTATTTTTTTTTTTTATTGACGGAAACGGGCTTCCATTCAAAAGTAATCTAAAAGTAATCAAAAAGTAGTCTGATTATATTACCTAAAATGTGTAATGTAATGGATTACATTACTACAGTAACTACAATTTTTGCCATGTAATTTGGAATCAGTAACGGACTACAATTTGTAAGTAATCTACCCAGCACTGCTTGTGTGTGTGTGCATGAGGACTGTAGTGTGATGGACTGACTAACATCATGATCTCAAAACATCTCATCGTATTTTTTGATAACTGAAGCATTGCAGTAAATCTCAGAATCATAGTCTAATAATATGCTATTCTGAAAAATCGCCATTGGCCTGATCATTTATTTGTGCCGTGGTTGGAAAGAGAAAGAGACTTTGAAGGAAGAGGGGTCACTGCGGTTTAGAGGAGATTGCAAACAGGTATAAGCAGGTAATGAAAAGATGACAGAGGAAATAGCCACTTCCAATGATCTCATTTTGAGCTGCCAGTATATGGGAAGTATTAGAAACCGGGATGAGAAACACTTCCAAGACAAACATAAAGCCTCATTTCAAACATTCGGGTTGTTTACAAAACTGTCTTTGGGAACATTTTGAAAGTAATTGCAGCAAAAATGAAAAGCGTGTGTTTCTTGGAACGATTACAGGGGTTTAAAAATATAGTAGCATATAGTAGCCTTAAATGGTTTTGCAATATCCTTGGGTCTTTTATTATGCCATTAGGGTCTGTGAAGTGTAAACGTCTGTCAGTATTAGAAGTTATTTTGGAAATTTTGTCCATTGCTGTAGGTTTGCAGCTCTCATGTAATCCAGTAGATTTTTTTGAAAACATCAGGAAGATTAGGGCTTGTGGGAAAGTGTCTAGCTGCTGTCATATTGTCTAATTTCAAATGCATTATGATATCTGTCTGCAGGATTTTTTATTTTGTGCCCTTGCAGCTTTCAGCACATATAGAGTCGCCGCTTACAAACGAGACCCTAGAGATCAGAGTGTATAATCACACAAAGTCAGAAATGATCATCGAAACATGTATGCATACTTCTACAATAGCTTTGCATGAGGAACAGAGCAAACTTCTAGTCTTTTTACTAGCATTGCCCCCCTAATAGTGCGTAAGAGGCTTAGTCAACCAAAATGTTTTTAGTCAGTTAGTCACAGAAAAACTGTCCGTGATAAACAGATAGTTAACGGCTGGTCCTTGAGGTAATTACAGTAAATCCAGGAAGGAAATTCAAACATTCATCTATCATTCATCAACCTCAAATGTGGCTTATCTTTTGAAAGTGAAACATGCAAGTAGTAGCACGTTAACTTAGATAAATGTGCACTTTTAGGCACATATCCAAGTGTTTGTGTGGAGTGTGGATGCTATTAGCACACTTACTGCATTTGTCCTGATAACAGCGAAAAACATCTTAAAAATTGCTGTCATTTTTACTCATGCAGATAAGAGTAATACATCATTCGAAACTGTAAAGGGTCTACTTTTATTTGTGTACACTCACAGTATCAACAAAATGTTGTGCTTTCGTAAAATAAAGAAAACAATCAAGATGCGTTTTTTTTTTTGCCGTCTCCATGAACTGGAGCGCATCACAAAAATGAACCGAAATTCAGCGTATAGGCTACTGCCTCACAAACATGAGAGATATATCTATAGAAAGATTGAAACATCTACAAAACCGATTCAAAACAAATACTCTCTGATTATGTAATCCGTATGAAAGGTGCTTTTCTCTCTAAAGGCGCATCATTGTAATGTGGAGATGGCGAGTCAGCATCGTCAACTTCATCTGTGCAGCAGACACTGACTCAGAAAACACTAGTTTATTCATAAATAATTAAAATATCTCCCATGCGATTTTTTCCGACACATTCATAGTCATTATTTTTGCTGGTGCTTTGCAGAATAGGCTATATATTAAAGCCTATTATTTAACTAATTAAATTAATATAAATTATTATTCGACTAATGGCTTAAATGAATTACTGAAAGTCAAATCTTTAGTTAAGGGCGACTCTACTTTTTACTCTTTAAACTCTTGCTCCGTCATGACAAATGAGTCAGAAACCAGCAGAGGCCAGGGGTCTTTATTAGATTTGAAGATTTGCTGCAAATCGGTTGTTTTAACCAGATATGCATGGACGGAGGAAGACAATGACAAAGGAAGCAGATGATAAGAGGGGTGATAAGATGCATGCAGTGGGGTTTTTCACTCTTACGTAAGCTCTCTTTAGGCCTGATGTAAACTCATTCATGACAGCCACGCGGTGCTGAGATGTGACCTCACCCTTCGCTTCCCATGATTGCTGAGATCTGAAATCGCTCTCAGCAGGAGCGGGGGGGGGCTGGAGAATTTGTTGTGAACTTTCTAGAAGGCCCTCCTGACTGCTCTGTGTGATTTATGGTCTGGGGCTGCCAGAGCAACACAAGATTAGTCACAGGGTGAAAGGTCAAGCCATTACAGCTGTGTATGATGACATGTTTAAGAGCAGATGATTCTTATTAAGCCCAGAGTAAAAACAAAAAAAAACGAATGTGTGCTTGTGTAGTCTTGCTAGTGTTCTCATGTAAATCTAATGTTTTCGAGTTATTAGTGGTGTTTGCTAAGGTTTGGTGTGGCTTTTTGATGTAAGCAACCACTCAGAACACTTTAGAAATCACATAGCAACACCCTAGCAACCATCTAGAACATCAATCACATAGCAACTCCTTAGCAACCACCCAGAACACCTTCGTGATCACATAGCAGCACACTAAAAAACACTCGGAACACCTTAGCAGCTGCATAGTAACGCCCTGCCAACTATTTAAAACATGTTAGTAACAGCATAGCAACTCCCTAGCAACCATCTAGAACACCTTTGCAATTACATAGCAACACACTAACCATTCAGAATAGCTTGACAACTGCACAATAACACCCTGACAACTGTCCAGAATACCTTAGCAATAGCATAGCAATGCCCTAGCAATCAAATAGAACATCTTAGCAGTAGCATAGCAACACACTAAAAACCAATTAAAACACAACCATATAGTATGGCCTGGCAACTACCCAGAATCCCATAGCAACACCCTGGCAACCACCCAGAATAGCTTAGAGATCTCGTAGCCCTGGCAAGTATCCAGAACACTTTAGCAAAAGCATAGCAGCACCTTAGCAAACACATAGAGCAACTTAGCAATAATATAGCAACATACTAAAACACTCTGAACACCTTACCAACTGCTTAGTGACATCCTGGCAACTAGTCAAAACACCTTGGCAACAACATAGCAACACACAAAAACACTTAGAACACCTTAGCAACTGCATAGTAATGCCCTGGTAATGACCCAGAATACCCATAGCAACACAATAAAAACCACGTACAAAACGTTGCTAACCACATAGTATGTAGCGACAGCATTGCAACGCCGTGGCAAACATCCAAAACATCCTGGCAGTGTAGTGGCAAGTTTTGCATAATTTTTCTTCACAGAATGCAAGAAATTTTTATTTTTCCCCATAACAAATGTGAATTCCAGCTGCTTAACGTAAGCAGTGAAGGAAAATATGTTTCAGCATTTTAAATGTTTTTATCATTGCAGAGCAAAGTCATCATTCATCAGTTACAAATGTGAAGCAACATGTTTCTGTGTTTTTGCTTAGAAATGCTTGGCTTGAGCCAGAGACTAACAGAAGTGCTATGTTCAGATACTAAAACACTTATTTTCATAAATGGTTATACAAATAATAATTTTTCAGTGTTTGAATTGTGGATTACACTGGCCATAAAAAGTATTTGGACACTTAAGCCACACTTAAATATGAATGTCATTGCATAAGATAACAAAATACCAAACTAAGCCACATTTATTATCAAGATAACACAAGCACACTTACAAGGTCCAAAATGAAGACTCTTTGTGGTTGTGAAATTGTTGATAGTTAATGTGATGAACTACACCTGTGTGTATTTGAGGAGAACTGACTTCATGCATGCATTAAAAATGACAGCAACGATTGTTTGCAGATGCCATTTCATTTGATATTTTGTTTTGCAATGCAATGACATTCATTAATTTTTATGTGCGACCTAACTGCCCAAATGCTTTTTAGGATCATTGTTCTTCAGATAACTAGAATGATGCATATTTGAAGGGTGAACTTTGTATTGAAGTGTGATACTTATGCATGCTAACCACTTCATGCATGGAAGAAAAAAAGGTGATAACACTCTAAAACAATCTTATCCTTGTGTTTTAGGTAAGTACTTACTTGCATGTTACAGAAAACAGCACGGCAGTGTATGAGAGTATGACGCTTCCCCAAGACAAAGACCCGAGGCCCTCTTCCTCCTCTCCCAGTACCTCCCTGTATGCTTTCTCCTCCCCTTGCACCTCCCCATACTCCTCGTCCTCCATTGAAGACACCCTTCAGCAGACCAACAACCTCCTGCCAAAGAACAGCAACATCTCAATCTTTAGCAGCCTGAAGAGGAAGAGCAAGAAGGCGAAGAAGAAGAAAGATGACCGTAGACACACCATTCAGAAGATCATGGGAGAGGAGCTGTCGGAGGAGGCTGGGTTGCCACCTGTATGTGAACCGGTGACATACGATACACATACTTGGCCCCTGAAGGAAAGGAAGAAGCGGAAAAATGCAAGGAAACCAAACAGCGATGGGGCTCCGGTCTTGGACTACATAAAGAACCCTTTAGTGAAAGACATAGATGCAGAATGTCCTGGAGAGGTTGGATTTCCAGTTCACCATACCTTAGAGGTTGCCACCCAAGGATATGTGAAGAACCACTGCAGATTTCTGTCCTTGGGCTCTGTGTTAAGCTTTGACCTGCCCAAGGATATGAGCCTCATCTCTAGCATTCAAGATGTCATCACAATTGGCCCTCCTGAGCAAAAAAAGACAGACTCTTATCACCAGGACTCTCAGGTTGATCGTCCGACAGCTCTGAGCACCTTTAAAACAGCCCGCTCACCTCCAACACAAAAAGAAGAACTCAAACAAATTTCCCCAGGTGAAGTAACCCTCAAGATTGATTGTAAAGACTCCAAAAAGATCAGCATTGACACTGTATCATTTACTAAAGATGAATTTCCTCCTACACCTTCTCCTGTTGTTGAAGACATCTCATTTGAGGAGAATCGTCCCTCATCACTCAGTGATCTGACCAATATCCAACAGAAACACCTGTCTGGGATCAGTATAGTGCCTAAAGAAGAGGTGGTTAGTTGGGGAGCTAATGAAACTCAACTTGACAGCAAAGAGAACTACTATGTAAGCCCACCAGAAGATGCAAGCCAAGGGATAGTCAACCACAGCTCAACTATGGCAGAGATTCATGTATGTCCTAGTGTCCATACCATGGTTCACAATCTTAATGGACACGTGTACCATAGGCCAGCGAAATCCTCCAGCACTCAACAGTTAAGTCCCAGTCATGCATCTCATGTGGTGTTGAACTTCAGAGCCAATGGAAGAGAGGACTCAGTGGACTCTGGTCACTCCAGCTCTGGAAGCTTCAAGTTATGTGCTGAGGGTCCGTACATAGACTCCTCAGATTGTCCAGTGCCTCAGAGGACCTTTGGGAAGGTACCATCCCTGGATGCAGGAGTCTCCAACAAGAACTTAGAGTTCTCCAAGGACAAGAGCATTACCTTATCTATCGACGTTGATGATCCAGTTCATCCTGACCATCAACAGTTTGAGCAGGAAGAGGAGGAGCTGGAGGACATCTGGAACCACACCAACCGCTACCGAGAGAGTCTTAACTCTGACATCATGTATAATGGCTACCAGGCCACCTCTTCTCCAGACCGGCACAGGGAACCCTCACCCAAAGAACAAGCAGTGCTCTTCAGGAAGTTGGTCACGGCCTCTGCACCCAACCTTCTTGTGGCGGAGTTCAGACTGCCACCATCCATCCAGACTATGGTGGGTTCTGGGAAGCAGCAGAACCCAAGGAAAGAGAGGAAAATTCTGGACAAAGGGGACAGGAGGTCTTGGGCTGCGTTCACACAACAGGAACAAGTTTACAAACAGGTGGCTGTTAATGAAACTGCTTCAGATATGGTGAAACTACCAGAAATAGAGGACCAGCAAAAGTATATCTACCATTATAAAGAGGAGGAGGAGGAGGAAGAGAAGGAGGAGAAGGAAACAGGGTTTCTGAAGGTGAGGTCTACAAGTTGGCTGTCAAACCCAGTTAGTTGTCGTTTAGGACTGTTTAAGTCAGGGGTGTCCAACCCTGCTCCTGGAGGGCCACTGTCCTCTAGAGTTTAGCTCCAACCCCAGTTAAACACACCTGAACTAGCTAATCAAGGTCTTACTAGGCATACTAGAAACTTCCATGCAGGTGTTTTGAGGCAAGTTGAAGCTAAACTCTGCAGGACAGTGGCACTCCAGGACCGAGTTTGGACACTCCTGGTTTAAGTCCTGCTCCTGCAGGGCCAATGTCCTGTAGATTTTAGCTTCAATCAAACACACCCGAACCAAGGAACTCAAGGTCTCGACGATTACTAGAAACTTCCGGGGAGGTGTGTTGGGTCAAGTTGGAGCTAAACTGTGTAAGACGGTGGCTCTCCAGGACCAGGATTGTACACCCCTGATTTAAGTAGTTGACTTACGCTGCCTTCAACGCATGTCAGAATGATATTTATGAGATGAGCGCTCATGAGCGCTACCACAGTATTGTATTTAGTTAGACTTTCTGAGTTAGAAAGATTGTCAATGAAAGAATCATGGTGGATACCTTACATTTCCCATCTTTCTCTGTGGGAGCAAAAATGCTCTTCACTATTTTGCATTTGCATTAAACGGCTGAAGTAGGAACTTCCTAGGAGGATTGAGGGTTTTATTAGGAAATCTTTGCCTTCAAATTACGTTGTGGTCAGCATATCTCATATCATTTTGCCCATTGTTGTAGTTCTAATTAGTGCACATGTAATCTGTTTTTGTCATGGTAATTAATGCATTGATATGTGTTCTCTCTCCACAGGACCAGTCCATGAGCCTCCTGTCTGTTCATATGGGATTGGATGGGACCAATGACAATGATATCCAGGTACACAAAGTATAATTGCAGACCATACCAGAACAGAAAGTATGTGCTTTAACGTTCTTCAGAATATTGATAAATAAAAGACATTATTGTATCTCATCATATCAAGGTTGTTAATTCTAATCTTTGACCTTTCTGTTTCAGAGTGGAAGACAAGAACTGGAACTGCCGTTAATGCACTGCATTTTGCATTACTTTAATGCTGCTGTTTATTACTATCATGACTCATTTATATAAATTAGGCGCATTTAAATAAATTACTCAAGTTTATAGTCATATTTTATAAACCCTCATAGCTCTGAGTATTTAATTTATAGTAAATGTGTATAAATATGTAGTTTGACCATAGTTAAATTACTTTAAATTGCACTACAAGCAGACCATACCAGAACAGAAAGTATGTGCTTTAACGTTCTTCAGAATATTGATAAATAAAAGACATTATTGTATCTCATCATATCAAGGTTGTTAATTCTAATCTTTGACCTTTCTGTTTCAGAGTGGAAGACAAGAACTGGAACTGCCGTCTATGGAAGGTACACTGGAGAGGAAACACAAACTACAACTGGGTGGAAAGAAGGTAAATATCACAATTACAGATATTTGCTTGACCCCAACCAAAACAAATGAGCATTTTGTGTCACATGCCTCATGCTTTTACGTGCAGGCTACTGTGGTAGATGTCAGATTAGGTTGTTTTAGTGCATTTTCGGTTGGTCTTTATGTAACCACTAAGTTAAATGTACTATTTCAGGCACCATGCAGGGTGTGGAACTCCTATCATGCTGTGCTGTACAAACAAACAATATGTTTCTATAAGGACAGGAAAGATACACTCAAGGTAAACTCAAAGACTTCGTGTTCTGGCTTTGCAACCAAGCAGAAAACTTTGTGTTCCTTTATTGCAAGCAGACATCATTAGTTACATTGCAAGGTTGAGCTGTGATTAAATTGTGATTGAATTACGTTTAATGGCAGCTGTAAAGCATCTAAGGGTATGATTTCGCTAAAACGACTATATTTGTACCCATAGAGCTGTGTGACCAGCCTTCCTCTGAACCTAATTGGAGCGGTGTGTGAACCGTCACCAGAGTACACCAAAAAACCCAACTGCTTCTGCTTGAGGTAAATGGCGAACAACTAAAGGGCGTCTCATGTTTGTTTTAGTTAGAGATGAAAGTAGTTGTTTGAATCGTTTTCACCTGCACAGGTTCAGTTGAAGGACTTTGTTTAACCATTTTCTCTCAGATTACGTGATGGATCTGAGTATCTCCTCAGTGCACCGTCCCGATTTATGATGAAGAAATGGATCCTCAGAATCCAAGCACACACTGGTAGTATACTATTAACTATCTGTCTCCGTCGTTAACAAGTTTTCATGCTGCATTATATGACCACAGTCATATTCACATGAAATCCTATCTCTACAGCGTCTAGCGATTCCGTAGTGAACAGATCAACATGTCATGGGTCTTCAGCTTCAGCAACGCTCCCTAGACATTCTCCTGCTATCACCGGCTGTCAGTGTGGAGATAAATGCCACTGCTCCATGAGAAATTATGTCACCACCACTGTTTTAGCACAGAGTCAGCCCGCCTCAGGCCGAACCAAAGAGATCATAGTCCACACCAGTGACGGACTGCAGATCCACCAAAGGCATCAGGATCTGTTGCTCCTCTCGTTCTCAGATGCAGGTCATTGTGGTAAGAAACTGTGTGACTAATACAGTTCAGTGAACTAAGAAAAAACAAGGGTAGTTATTCCTGTAACTAGCTACTTTTTACTAACAAGAAATGGTGGTTACATTGTATTTTTTTTTTATTTACTTTATTTTATTTGTTTATTTTTTTTTATCTTTGGTTCGGTTCATATAAACAAACTGATTGGTGAAAAAATATATTAAAGGCTTCTGAAATTTTGATTATTTCAATATTATGAATATAATTTCACGAATATTAGATTACTATATGATCCAATAAATGTAGTTT